TAGAGATTACTACTATTTCAGTACATAAATAATTTTGTAGTATCATACACTTGCTTTAATAAAGCTTTCACATTATACCTAATTTTATGTAAATGTTATTCAGATTTCAATCCAAGAGTTTTGTAGGGGAGGTTAAAGGGTGTTTATCTTGATTTGTTAAAACACACCATTAAAATTAAGCAGTGACAAATATTATGACTCTTTAAATTGTCCTAAATGGTTGTATTTGTTTGTTAGACTTGTGTTTATACAAAATATTTTAACTCTTTAAATATAACCTACTTTGATGAATTGTTCATACAGGGGCTGTAATCAGGAAATGGGTCTGGTAATCTTATAAATTCACCAATCAGTTTGATTTCTTAGTAAACCCTCCTTTATGAGTATTGTTTAATGTGATAAAATGGTATATATCACATTTAGAAAAATTAATGAAAATGAAAATAAATCAAAAAAGAAAGCTTAGATTATTCTATTTTTTAAATGCTAGCCTTTTTCTAGAGTTATGAAGATTAGCGCTTAACGTGTATTTCTTGAATATACAGTTTTAACGTTTGGGGAACATATTTATTCAGAATAATTATAATAAAAATAAATGCAAATTGGTAAAGAATATTTCATTAGTTCGTTTAAAAGTACTTCCGAAAATGATATTTTGAGGAAGAAGAGAAAGTGATCAGAATTATCTCTCCATAAGAATACAACTATTATATTCCTACATGTTACTTATTAAATGTTCAGCAAAGATAGCAGATAGATAAGACATGGCTCTAAATGTAACCTTAACCAAAAATTGAATCAGCATTTCAGAATCAAGAATTAATAGAATAAACTTAATTTTAGTTTCTCATAAATGCAGCTGCATTTTCCTATTTAATTACAGTTTTCAACAGTAGTAATTTTTTCTTGACCTGCTCAATCTCAAAAGTCAGAAAATTGCTTCTTTTTAAAAACTGACAATGGCACGGTATGTTTCCAAAGAAAAAAGACAAATTACAGAAAACCATTAGTTTAAACATGTTTAAATAGCCAGGGAGAAGTTCTAATAGAAAACTTGGTTGAATAGGAGGGAAAGTTATGAATTACTTTTGTCTCATGGCATAATGTGAATGTGAAGATACTATTTTATTTTCTTCTTTTCTAAAAAAATAAAATAAAAATGTGCTGTATAATTATAAAAAGCCCAAGGCATTCAAGATGACTTGTTTCTTGCTCTCTGGTAGATGGAATTCTTTACCATTGTAAATTCATGGATTTTTCATCTGCAGCCTGGGTAGTAGATGACAGAAAAGGTATTTTAAAAGGAAAAGTTTAGCTTAGTAAGAGTTATGGAATAGGATAGCAAGAAAAATAAAGAGCAGAACCTTAGCCTTTGAAAAGATAATAAAATCGAAGCTCAGAATTCACTGGCAAATACAGATGGAAAACATATTTTTTTACCCAAATTGTTAAATTGTAGTGCAGCGTGTAAATATTCAGTGTTTCTCTAAATGAGAAATATTCCTGATTTAATAAACTAGACTTCTCAAACACGGAGAGGAAGACAAGGAATTTTTTGTTTATTCGCTACAGAGATTTCATTTAATATGTTTTATCACACTGTTGAGCCTTTTTTGTGGCCAGGGAATAATTTGTGGGTGAGGGCTCTGAGTCTGACTGATTACAGAAAAAAACATTTAATAGTGAATGGATAATTATTCACCGTTCAAATTTCTTACGCTCATAATTTTTTTGTATGTATGCCTTGAGATTTCTTTTGACTCTTTAAGTGGCATTAAGAGCAAATTACATACAAATGAGTTAAATCTGGTAAAAAGATTATTCTTTCTAAAGCTTAGTTGTTAATTTTCTTTTCATCACTGGTGATGCCAACACAAATTGTGTCTACACAGCCAAGACATGGTTTCACTACATAGGTTAATTAAAAGGGCCAGGTTATAGAATCTGAACCATGGGTGCCACCAGAATCTATTGAGAATAGTGAATCCAACCAGGGGCTAAGGGAAGCTTTTAATAAAAATCAGGGCTGCCAAGACATTCAGTGCTTTTATCTCTGCTGATTTTGATAGAGTTGATATGAGTGGAATGACCCAAGGCCCCCTTCCAAGTGCATTTCTGCCAAAATCCCAGGTTGCCTGGGAAGTCAGAGGCTCATGTTACTATAAACTTTATGTGGCAACACCACTGACATTTAGCTTTATTTTTTCCCCTGGAGTTTCAGGGGGATGTGTTATATTTTTTAATTGACTTAGTAAAACATTTCTTTTACAATCTACCCTTGCTTGTGAGCAAGGGCCAATAAGGAATGGCACTCAAATGCTCAACAGATTCCTCGGAGGCTGTGAATTAACCAAAACTTATAGCTCAAAAAAAAAAGAGGCTGCTTCACACTGGAGAAGAATTGAGATTTAGTCAGATGGGTCAGTGGTGAAAGATAATCACAACATTCATTTCTGGGATAAAAACTCATGTAAAAAGAAGTCTTTGGAGCAGAAGAAACCATGAAAATCTGAATAGCACAATAAATACACATTTAAACCCAAATTCTTGTAAATTATCTATCTGAAAGAGGCTGATGTGTGGGTCATTGTCCGAGACTATAAATATCCTTACCAGGGGATGACAAAATATCGTATTGTCCTCATGAACAGTTGGGCCAAAAAAAAATGTATAATAATTTTGGATGCTTTTTTTTATGGTTTCAGGAATTTCATAAGGAAGTCCTTACAAAGTGTAGTCAGTACAGATGCAATGTGGTAAATATTAACTTCTTAACTTATTGAGATATAGTAAAATCAAAGTTACGGGTGAAAATAAGCCATAGGTCTTAATAGAGTAGTGGAACAAAGTTTCAGAGTCCTGTGAGTTTGTTCTAGGTCTGACCAAGTTCTCTGTGTCTTAGGTTCTCAGATATAGAAGGAGGATTTGGGGTTAGGTGATTCCTTGGGTCTGGACAAGCTTTATAATTCTATGAATTTTGAAATTGTAATGAAAATACCATTTGATTTTTCTTTTTATTTAAAAAGTGCTGCTCATATTTTTCAGTTGATTGATACTATACTACCTTACTATATTATATGCCCAGCTTTGGAAAATGAGTTAGAAAATGTATTTTGGCATGCACAAACAAAAGAATCAATTAAAGGTCATGCAGAGAATGAAGAGTAAAATGAATAGTAAAATGACTGCTGGGAGCAATGGAATTGCTGGAAGGAAATGTATAGGTATTACCACAGAAACAGATAAATGCTGAGAAGCCATCTCTCACTGAACAACAGAGATTCTAAAGTAGGTAAATTATTTCCCCCTCCCCACTACCAAAACAGGGCCAAAGCCCAAGAAGAGAAGAGAGAAAGTGAGAGAGTGGGAAATGTGGACTATCTATCTTTGCATGGGAAATTCACCACAGGTGTCCTATGTAGGATCAAGGGAGTTTTCATCTCTTGAATATTGTATTTTGTATCCACTAAAAATATAGATGCATGTTATTAAAAGGGTGAGGCACTGAGTTCAAAAGCAAATTTTTTTCATTAAAAAATTTAAATGGCTCAAAATGAGTTTGCACAAATGTGCACACCATTGTGAGGTCAGTGAAATGTCAGACAGATGGAGTGGCTAAGTGAGAATGTAAGGAGGAAGTTAAGTGCTAAGGAAAGTAAAAGGTGAGCAGGGCAAAGGGCCGTGTGATAGAAATCACATGATGAATGATTCACTACCTTAACTCTTCTTAGAACTAAACTTAACCCTCTTTGCCTTTAGTTCTCTAATATAAAAACAAAAATCAGCCACAGCCACTAAACGAAACCTTTTTCAATCTCATTGTTGTGATCCTACTGTGGAGGCACCAGATGCTTGGGAAAATCCCAATTGATTTCTATACCCAGCACTTTAGACTCTTAAGACCTGTGGTGTTACATCATTGGCTACCAGTGTGTGGCAGGCAGCTAGACACCAGTAGACCCCCACCACCAGCTTGTGTTATTATCTTCATTTGCCAGAAAACATCGGCTGTCAACCAAGCATTATGGTGGATTCTTTTAGCTAAAATCTAGCTGTGACAGAATTGGCTTAAACCTTTTCCACAGGGGAGGATTTCTTAGTAGGCTGTGGGCTTGGACTAAAGTTCTCAGTGTCCAGTGATTATTGACTCTCCATTGAAAGATGCACTAATGAAGGGCTTGATTCAGATGTCTGATAAAGATGCCATGCATGGGTGATACCCAAAAGCTGAATCAGGAAGGCAGTAAGAAAGATGGCCTTCAACTGTGCACAAGTCTGGGTTCCTAGACTGTGCAGTGAGCTTCAGCAGCGTGGGCTAGTAGCCAGCATCAATATACATTCCTACCAGAATGCGAACTAGAAAATGGGAGGACCCAGAAAGAATCCTTTATTTTTAGGAACAGGGGATGTTGTTACAGTATTATTACTATTATTTAGGTTAGTATTTCTCTTGATATATTAGACTCGCAGATAGTTGTTATAAGTGTTAAAAAAACAAAATTCAACTGAGTAAATTTTAAAGATCTTATTGGCTTTATTCAGCAATTCATGAATCGAGCAGCATCCAATCTGGCAGATAGAAAGGACCTCTGAAGAGCTTTACAAGGCAAGAGGTTTTATAGGCAGAAGGGAGCTGGAACAAGGGAGTTGTACTAGGCAAAAAAGCCAATGGGTTATTGCAAGGTGACTTTCTTTATAGGGGATGGCAAAGGGTTTATCAGGCACATGACCTAAATAATGCTGATCAGGTGATTCCTGACTGACTTGATAAGAGTCTATTTCCAGAAGAGCCGAAACTGTGCGGTGATGTGAGGCTTAGCATAAGCGACTCCACTTTGGGCCTGTTGTCTTGTCTTTAATATAAGAAAAGATGAGAATTTGGAGTTAATTTCTGAGTCATGTAGGAATATTTTAAAGTATAATGCTTATGTGATTTTTTTGTGTTTGCTTGAACTTCATGATGCTTAGAAAAAATTAGGACAGCGACTCTGTCTCCCTCTCTCTTTCTCTGCAGCTCTTCTAGTCCCTTCTCAGTCCCAAAGTCATGGGCTCATTACTGATCACATGTGACGGGTTTGCTGATTGGCTGTGTGCAGCTGGGAGGCTGGTGTTCAATTTTCCTCACTTTGCCAGGTTATTCTCCTTAGTTGTCTAAACTTTCATCAGTTTGAGGTTCAGAATATATTTTATTCCAGTGAGTCTTTTAAATGCAGACATAGCAGCTGGATTAACCTGAAAAAAGGGAAGAAAAAAATATTATCTGGGGGTGATAAAATTTTTGCAAATGAGATCTAAATGTCTCACGTGTTTAAGTTACAATTTCAAGAAGCCTTTAGATACCTTTCAAATATTTTTTTTTCAGATTGAAAAGTGTCTCAACATTAAACTTCTGTATTTTCCTCTCTGCTCTACCATCCCTACTCCTTGATTATTGACCCATAAACTAAGCCAACACTTAAATCCAAAAGCATAGCAAACTTGTCTCATACAGTGGTCCCTTGGAACCAAACAGTTTAGTTTTTATCATAGGAAATTTTAGAAAATCTAATACTTTATCCTCATGACACAGTAGCTTTATTCCATTTCTGACACATTTATATTAGTTTAATTTTTTGTTAAGGACTCCTTATGAAAAGAATAATTTTGTTCTTTCACATTATCCAAATGCTTGTATAATTGTAATTAGGATGTGAAAAATGTAGTTTTTTTCTTTGAAATTTTGTAATGATTCATAGTGGATTCAAAAACTAACCTATTCTCATATGTCAGATTAACCATAGAAATGTGGCTTTTGGAACTGGATACCTGAGAATCCTTTTCAACTAGTAAATTTGTCATTAGAAGAATAACAACATGGTTTTAATAGCATGAGCTATTTCCTGTTTACTTGGTAGAGCTTCTGCTTTAAGTTCAGGTTGCTTTGCTTATGTTTGGGATGATTTTTTTTGTTTGTTTGTTTGTTTGGTTTTTTTGGGATGATTTTTAATGTCACTGAGATGAACTTTGAACAAATCCATACAATCTTGTTAAAAATAGCAACAAACTTTGTGAAATTTAATGGGCATCCTGGGGTATTCATATGTGTCTTTACAAATATAAAAGTAGGACATCATCACTATTGCTGGTTTTATTCCTATTTATCATATAATTCCCTTTCATAGATAGAAAAAGCATGGGGAAAATTTAGCATAGGACTTCAGGGAGGAGGCAGTAGAATCTGTAGAACTGGGTTTTGGGTATAGGATTATGTGAAGATTGTTATTCTCATTTTAGTATTTCCTCTTGGGTTTAGCTTTTTATTAAATTTCACACATCCCATTATTTTCTGTGGCATTAAACACTGGGAAGCAAGGGAAAAACGGTCCTGGAAATAAAAGTGCGGTTGCCTTGTACCTAAGTGATAAAAACTAATCTAGAAAAGAAAAGTGGCCCAGAGACCTCTTTGTGTGAAGTATCTCAACATATTGCTGTCTGTTATATTGTACCGAACACATGCACTTCTGTTTAGTAATATTTTGGGGAGCTGAGATTTAGGGCAGAAAAGACTGGAGCATCTTTGCAACTAATTCTAAAATTTTATAGGGTTATTTATTTATTGGTAGTGTGATGAACATGCATTATTTGTAATAACATTTTTAGTGTAACATTCCTTTTTTATTTAACTCTGATTTTTAGACCTTTGAGTTTTTCTTTGCTTTAGCTTGGGAAAACCAAATAAGTGCAAGTTTCCTCCAAGACACCTCATGAAAACATTTTTTTTTTAAATAAAATCAAGAGTGAAACGAGTCTATATTTATTTGGAAGATCATCTGACTACTGCTAAATGGAGTATCTCAATCTGAAAGTGAAATCTGTTTCACTGCTAAAAATTGCCAAGAGTTTTTTGACTGAGATTTGGGAATCTGCAGAAAATGTAAAAGTTTTTTTTTCTACAATAATCTGTTCAGTGAACAAGCTGTGAAAAATAGTTCTGTATTTTGTCCATGTGATGCAGCAGACGGTAAATTTCCATTTTAAAGAACGATATGAGTAGCTTCTGGCACGCATCTCTATTGCCTTACTCGAAGCCACTTACACTGAGTTACAACAATGCAGTTTATTACTTCTGTAGAGCAAAAAATCAGAGGGGATCTTATAGTCTCTTCTTTTTCTTTCTTTCTTTTTCATTTTCTTTTTTTAACCCACAGCTCAGCTCTATTCCTTTCTCTGAGATCAGTGATGTGAGGGCACTTGGAGGCCTTATCAAATGTGCCTTAAATATCACAATTGTATCAAGAAGATACTGTTTCCCTGAATTTAAAGCTTTGCATTTGAAGAGTTTTAGAATTAATTTACTGTTTCTTTCCAAACATATTCTTTTGAGGTAGGTGGTCCCAGAATGAGCATTTATTAAGAACCATTTGAGGGATATATATTTTTTTAAGGATTTTTATTTATTTATTTGACAGAGAGAGAGAGAGGGAACACAAGCAGGGGGAGTGGGAGAGGGAGAAGTAGGTTTCCCGCTTAGCAGGGAGCCTGATGTGGGCTTGATCCCAGGACCCTGGGATCATGACCTGAGCTGAAGGCAGACACTTAACGACTGAGCCACCCAGGCACCCCTAAGGGATATATTTTTTTAAAAATGTATTGCTGTGATTTTTATATAAATACAAAATGAACATGCGCTTAAAGATTTTATTTATTCCTTAATTAATGAGAGAAGCAGTAAGATGTTATAACCTGCTCAAAGGAGAATTCAGATTTGCATTCACACACAGATAGGCAGATGAAAAATGTTGACAGAAATGGACAAACATGCAAAACTGGTCAGTATTTACAGGGCAATAATCAATTGCATTCTAGAGGTCCTAGCATTTCTATTTCTATGGGCCAGAGTAATTTGCATTATTGTTAATTTTCTACAACTCACAGAGATGACACTCAGCTCAAACACAGTAAAAGGAAGAGAACCTGGAAGGATATGCTAGACAGGATACTTACTGATCTTTTGATTTATTTCAAAGTCTCTCCCAATTTTTACCTACAGATTCATTTAACAAGTACTTTGGACATCTTCCACTCAAATTAATCAATTTTGTTTCCTGGTTCACGTCTACTTTTAAATAAAATGCCTACCTAGAACAGTGTAGGTGACACACAGTAGGTGGTTCATTTATATTTGTTGAATGGATACAATTTTACTCATATTTTCTACCAAACATTTTTCAAATCATTCAGTAGTACAGATGAGTATGGTCTTTTGTTCCCAAATCTCAAGGATGTCAGAAGGATTCTGAAAGAAACTTGGGGTAGGCTTCAAGGCTATGGTACATACCTTTCTTTTGCCTTGATCATTTTATACTCAATGATGTATCTTCTGAGAGAGCAAGAGACGAATAAAAGGAAACCAGGAGTCAACTGCCACTGGATTCCCAGTGTCTCCCGACAGAGATGTGAGCTCCAGTGGATAAAATCAACATCAAACTGACTGTAGGGTCAGTGGCTTCAGAGAGCAAAGAAATCTTACCTCTCTGAGGACTCCAGTGTATCATGCTGGCGTCTGATTGTTGCAGATTGGATGATTATCACCAATTGGATTTTGACCATAATCTGTTGTCCTTCGAATTTACTTTTGTGCAGCCTCAGTTTATTTCGACCAACTGATAACCAGAGAAGTTTAGTTTCAGGGTTTTCACAAGATCTTCAATGTCACACAATCTTTTTCTTCCTCACTTGTCTGATGCGTTAAATTCTGCCATTGTTACTTCATGCCTTGGACACATCAGTTGCAATGATTTCATTGATGTGCGCATTCATTTTCTGGGAGAGGTGAAGTCCTTAACATTTTCAGTGTTTCACACTTCACTGGGAAGGAAAATTAGTGATCAGGTTGTGATTTGCTGACCTATTAAGATCTTGATGGGGGAAATGAGAGTGTAAGACAACAGACACCCAACACAGGCAACAGGTCAGAGTGAGGCGAAGTCAGGAATAAGAAAGTGGTACAAGGTAGAGCTCAATGTCTTCACTGACATTCATGTACCCACCCACTTCCTGTGGATGTCTCCAGTGTATGGTTTGCAAAAATATTCTAATATCAGCAGTAGTGTTGCAGAAGTAGAGGGCATTCATTTCACCATGGAAAAAGGTTAGCAAAACTGAACGTTGTTCCTAATAGTGGCTATTTTCAATCTTTATTTAGCCACTGGATTTCTTTGCTACTTATTAAAAAGTGTGTGAACTTGTCCTTCACATATTATATTGTACTTACCCCTGGTCTACCAGACATCTGAATACTCTTACAGTTGACAAAGCATTTTCATATATATTATCTCATTTAACCTTTACAATAATCTGGTAGTCCTTAGTTGTGAAAGATGAGCATTAACTCAAAACGTGTTTTTTCCCCACTTGAGGCAGGCTTTTCTGTGTGAAATAAATGACTATAACATAATCAGTTTGTTCTCATCAACTATAGGAGTGCTGGATGTTGATTGCCACCAGTGATTTTTGTTGTGGTAGCCCATAGCCTACGTGAAGATAACAAAACAAAGACTCTGGAGCCACAGCCTGATTCATCTGTATTTATAGGTGTGGTTTAGTCTTTCTTTCCCCCCCTAGGCCTTGCTGTCATCACCGAGAAAATTAGTTCTATAAACACTTCCAGGCTTGACTCACTGTCACTTTGCACTTTGTCATCCAATATTTTCAGATACTATAAAATTTGAATGAGGAAATCCTGGAACCCAGGTTATCCATTATGTTCATCTAGCTCTCTATTAAAGTGAGAGGAGTGTTGGAATGAGAGTTAGACTTTGAAAAATACTGTTAACTTTTAAAGATAAGCATGAATGATCTGGTAATTCCCACTCTAAATAGCTGGTGTGACTTCAGGCAAGTGACTTACTTTTCTTAAAGTGAAACGAATAATACTTTCTGTTTAGGGTATAGAGGCTTGTGAGGATTAGGGACAGTGACATATCCTGAGTTAAAAGATGTATTTTAATGCAAGGCATTATGACTATGAAAAGGAATATAGGACATAAGTTATGTTATGATTGAATTTGCTTTTAAACTTTTGAACCTGAAAAACAAAACCAAAACCAAAACTCTTGAGCCTGAAAGGCCAAAGAAGTCTGCCCTGATGAATGCCACTCTGTGTGTGACAGATGTCTACCTCAGAAACGACTCTGGATGAATTTTCATTAAATGAATGGATAAGTTTCCTTCAGGGATACTTAATTGGCTTTATTCTTTCAAGATTAGTAGGGAGTTTCTGAAAGTTTGGGTGGTTCAGGCTGTGGAAAGAAATAATTCAGGCGTATCCTTAAATAGCAGTTGAATTCAAATTCTTAAACACCGATTAAAATTTGGGAAATCCTTAACCTTAATGTATTTCAAAACATCTTGGTTTTTACATTCTCTCCTTACACTAAATATAGCCCTTGTCTTATCTACATTGATTCTAACATTTGTCAATTTTGGCCTGCCCAGAATCTTTACTATTTCTGTAAGCACTTTCCCCCCCCTTTTGGGTAATACAGTAAGTAGTCCTGGGGTGATGTTGAATTTTCATCCAAGGGATTGGATTCTGCCTTTCCTCCTTCCTAGTTCTGCCAGGGGGTGAATGACTGTCAATTTTGGCTAATTAGACACCCACTTTGGGAATATCAAGTCTTAGGAAATGACAAGGTCTGGGGCATGATTAGAGACCTTCAGACCAACAACAGAGGCAGACAGGGCTGTTGTAATGATGATGTATTCTGACCAGCAATTCCAGCCATGAGCTGGGTGCTGTGATTTCTGCTTCCTTTTTTTTGGTCCCTTGGAGGATCCTTGGATCCTGCCCTATAGCCAATCTTCCAGTTTCCTGTTCATTTCGTGATCTCCACAAAATCTTCCCATAGATTCTTTTTTGTCTAAAGTAGTTAGACTTGGTTTCTGTTGCTTGCATCTAAGAATCCAGACTGGAAGAGTACACTTGTTCTTCTGAGGAATAGCAAGTTAATACAGGCAAAGTACTTCAACGCTACGTGGTTCCACATAACCATTGAAATATTGGCCACTCTTTTATCATTACTCTTCTGGCATGGTCATATGATATAGTGACTACTTACTTAGTTTGTCAGTCTCATAGATTGGAATGCAAGCACTTTGTCCTAGTTGATTTTGCATCTATCTCAGTAATTGGTATATAGTTGGTATTCAATAAACAGTTATTGGTTGGACTAAAAAAAAGAGTTAAGTTTTCCTTTATTAAACACATAACAGACAATTATTATGTTTGATCAAATTCACTGTTAAGTTCATTTGATTCACGGAGCCCTACTATGTGTAAGTTACTATGAACAATATGAAGATGAGTAAGTCAGGCACATTGCCCTTTTACTTTTAATAAGTTTGTAATTTCACAGTGAAAGGATAAAATAAGAAACTCAAATTCATTCATTTTTTTTTTTTCGTGACTTTGATGCTATAGAATTGCACAATAAATTCGAATCCTGCCTTTAAGACGGCTTCTCTCAACCATGGGTGTAATTTAATGCTAAATATGCTAAAATTGATTACCAAGTCAAAATATACATATTCTGTGATGTTGTCTGGTGGTTTGGATTAGAGTTGACCTATTACCTCCATAACCAGGGATAATTGAAGTTTTACTATATTTAATTAACATTCTGATTTTAATTGATTCCATTGAAAGTAGAAACAGCATTTTGTGTTTTGTCCTAGAAGCTTATTTTATTCAATAAATAACCATGCACAGTATGGTCATTCATAAAATATTGATAAATGAATAAACCTGGGAATTGAGCTGAGTGCCAGAAAAAATTAGTTAAGCCTATGTGTACAGGGCCATATCAGAACACCCAGGAAGAATTGTAGCTGTATTTCTACACTCTAGTATAATAATAGGAACCAACAATTAGGATGAGGATGCACAACATCCTCAGGATCGTTATTTTCCAGGGTCTGACTTTATAGTGACTTATCAGGGGAGAGGAATTTATTTTATAGGAACTCCTAACCCTCATCTCAGTATTCTTAGAGCTGGATTTTTTCCAAGTATCACTTCTCAGAGTGTGGAATGTGCATGAGTGTTCTGGTTTGTCAACTGTTGTCTGCCCAAGACGAGAAGCTTGCTCCAGAATGTAAATTGTCTTCACCAAACACACTGTTAAGCTCGACTAACATTTTAAAATTTTTGGTAGCAAGATTTTATTGATGAAGAAAACTGTGCATCCATCTCTGGTCTGACCTGAGTTCCTCATTTCACTGTAGGCTGAAAACAAACACTTTGTATTTTAACCACTTGGAGCAGTACCAGTTGATACAGTAGCACCTGGGTTGCTTGTTAGGAGTTGGTTTGGGGACCACATAGAACACCTACTGAAGCAGGCATTTGAGAGAGGGAGTCACTAGGAAACTTCATTTTCAATAAGCTCAGAAAGTCATCTTTCTGCACATTTAAAGTTTGAGAATCTCTAAATAAATAGCACAGTCTTCCTCAGACCATTGTCAAGACATGGAGCAAAGTCTATCTTTCAAAAATTTTCCAAAAAGGGGTGGCTGGGTGGCTCAGTTGTTAAGCGTCTGCCTTCGGCTCAGGTCATGATCCCAGGGTCCTGGGATCGAGCCCCGCATGGGACTCCCTGCTCAGCGGGAAGCCTGCTTCTCCCTCTCCCACTCCCCCTGCTTGTGTTCCCTCTCTCACTGACTCTCTCTATCAAATAAATAAAATTAAAAAAAATTTTTTCCCAAAAATGTAAAATTATATTATTTTGCACATTTGCACAAAAATAAGATATATGGTCAGTCTCTCCAAAGTAAACACTAATATCTCTGTGGTTTAAGTTGCATTTTTCAAGTTTGTGATGTTATACATACTGAATGCTGATGTCCACTGGGTGGACATAAATGTGCATTAACTTTAAGAGTTCCTAAATTTCAGGGAAATTGTCTTGCTTTCTCTCACATCTTCATTAATTCAAAACAAGACCCTCACTAATTAATCTGGGGGGGAAGTATAAAAGTCTAAATAAGATTCTTATAAAATCTTACTTGAGTTGGATGAGGAACCTTCTGTAACTTTGAGATAATAATCAGGGGTAAGTTTTAATAGAAAATAAAAATGAAACCAAATCTCAATATATCCTTTCTGATATTTGAACTGTCTTGGCTCCTGAGGATGGGTAAATATCTGATTAATGCTGGTTCACATGAATTGTGAAGGTCCTCGTGTTTTGGGATAGGGTGAAGACAAATCTGTGATTTGAGAGTCCCAGGGAAAGCTCCTCAGAGTTGGGAAGGTAGCTAGACTATCTAAATTGACGCTCCATTGTTGGCCATGTGCAGTCAAAGAAAGGAGGTAAAGCCTTTCCAACATGAAAACAGGTAACTTTTTTTTGTCATGAAGGATTTCAGGTGCAGATCAAAAGGGAAGATGTTGAATAGATGGCTGAAGCAGGGTTTCTTGAGACAATTGATATAGGAAGTTGGAACTATTATTATTATTATTATTTTTTTAAAGATTTATTTACTTAGAGAGAGAGAGAGCACTAGCACAAGTGGAAGGCGCAAAGGAAGAGGGAGAGACTTCACAGTGAGCATGGAGCCCTATGCAGGGCTCGATCTCACGACCCTGAGTTCACGACCTGAGCAGAAACAAAGAGTCCAATGCTTAACCAACTGTGCCACCCAGGTGCCCCAAAACTATTCTTATTTTTTAATAACTCAAGCTATTTCTTCTGTAGAGACTGGGATTTAATGATTTTCATTGATAATACTAGTGCTCATCAATATCTGATTTTTCTCTCCTCCCTGGCACATAGAAGACTGCAAGTCTTAGGCTCCTTGCAATTGGG